GAACGGGGAGGAGGAGGAAGTGGAGGTGGAGGAGGAGGAGGAGGAGGAGGAGGAGGAGGAGGAGGGCCATATGCAGGGTCCATCCCCCGTGCTCGCCCCTACACGCCGTCGGCGCGCCCCGGGGTCAGGCCCCGGGCGGTATACCCCTGCCTCCGCCGACGCGGGGCGGCGTCGCTCCCGCGCGCCGCAGGCGGCTGGCTCGAGCCGCTTCGGCGCAATGGGGGCCAGGAGTTCCAGACTGCCTGCGGCACGCCCGCGGCCGGTATGGCTCACGCTGTGCCTGCCCGCGGTGGGCCCGTGGCAGCGCGAGGAGAGCCAGAGGAAAGTGCAGGTATGTCAGGAAGGCGACGACGAGAAGCCTCCCTGGGTGAGAGGGTATTGGTCATGGTCGGGGCGATCCAGCAGCTCACTGAACGCGTGCGCTCCCTGGGGCAAGACGCGGCTACGGTTGGCAGGATGGGGGATCAGCTTGTGGAGAACGCGCTCACCATGACTCGAGGTGGCGAATCTGATTGACATGCAGACACGCCTGAGCCGTCTGGAACTATTAACTTTCCTCTCACCACCCACCGATCTTTAGCAGCTGGACAACATGATCGAGAAGCTGATGCCGCACACAGTGCCATCGAACTACCTGCAGCTGATCAAAGGGCCAGAGAGCGAGGCTACTCCAGACCGAACACATGATCCGCACATGTGATTATAATGGGAGCTGCCGCCAGAAAAAACAAATCAACAACAACAACAATATTAATTGTACGGTGGAGGAGGATAATGTGGGCCAAGACATCAGGGTAAACGACAAGCTCGGCAAAGGGCACAGGAGAAAGCTCAATTTCGGCGCGGCATCCGGTGAAGAGATCGGGTCTGACAGCAAGTACAATAACGGCTCGGGCGATGACGGCTTGGATTTCACAGGAGGCGCACCTGAGTCGTTCAAGCACTTCGAAGTCAGCACGTTAGAGCTCGCCTGGCTGGGGTGCGCGAGCGCCGCGAGCAGGAAGGCAGACCCGCGGCCGCAGTCCGATGGGGCTCTTGCGAGAGGTGACAGCTGCAAGCCGTCGACCGAGCAGAGCTGAGGTGAGCCCACGAAGTTCGGGCTCTGCGGCCGCGGCCTCCACGCCCTGCCCTACTGGGCCCGGGCGGGCCTCCCTCGCGGAGCGCGCGCGACGCCGGCGTTCGTTCGTTCGCTCGTTCGCGGGCGGCCGGCGGCCGCTGGAGGCAGCAGGAGGCGCGCGGCGCTGTGCCTGGCAGAAGGCGGCGGTGGCGGCGGGCAGCGCTGGCGACCGAACGAAAGGTAGAAAGGACATGATGATGGGCTACAGTCGGACCGAGGTAGAAGAGCAAGGTCGGCTCCGGGAGGGTACCCTGATGTTCTTCGTGGTTGGTGGAGGCTCTTGTGCATCTTTGGAGAGGGTGACCCTCGAATGATCTCAAGATGGGGGGTGCTCTGGCCCGCGGAGGGTCTCGTGTTCTCGAGGGGTGTTCTTGTGTCCAAGGTCCGACTGTACTAGACACCTTCGGGTCGTGCTGGGCCTAGGCCACTGCGCGCCGCGGCGCGGAGGACAGGCTATCGCACGAGGCGCAGCATGCAGGCCGACGGGAACGACCTCGCCCATCTGGTGCACGCGGCGCCGCAACGCCAGGAGCAGCACCGCACCGCCAGGGACGACACCAAGTCAGACAGGAAATGCAGCACTCGACGCGACAAGTACTGCACCAAATGCGACGAGGGATGTATCAACGCCTTGCAAGAGCATGGGCGGAGGAAGACGGAATACGTGCGCTACGAGAGCACGCGAAGAAGAGATGCTATGCGAGAGCACCGTTCTCCGACGCATCAGCAGATCCAGCTCGTCGTCTTGGAGGTCCCACTGCAGCAGCACCGCCGGCGCACCGCCGTGCAGCTGCAGCAACCCAGGTACGAGCACGACATCTACGAGAGCAGCAGCAACGGCAGCTACGAGTACGAGAATTCGGCAGCGACGAATCCGGCTGCACGTACGGCTTGCCTCGTCTAGCGCCAGGCTTGCTGGCTCCAGGCGCATGGCCACGAGCAGCGTTGCGAGGGCCACCAGCAGAGTTCCGAGGGCAACGGCATCCCTTCGAGGACAACCGCTGCAGCTGCGAGAGCCACCCGCAGAGCCGTGAGGGCCCCTTGAGCTCAGCTCTTCGCGAGCCGCAAAAGCAGAGCTCCGATGGCCGCCAGCAGGGCCTCGAGGCCCACCGGCTGAACTGCTCGGACCCCCCCCTCCGAGCAACGACAGCCACACAGGAGCCTCGAGAGCAGTGCTCGGAGCTACGAGAGCCACAGAGGGAGCTTCGAGAGCCACAGGAAAGCTGCGAGGAGGAGGAGGAGGAGGAGGAGGAGGAGGAGGAGGAGGAGGAGGAGGAGGAGGAGGGGGAGGAGGAGGAGGGGGAGGAGGAGGAGGGGGAGGAGGAGGAGGAGGAGGAGGAGGAGGAGGAGGAGGAGGAGGAGGAGGACCTACGAGGGCCAGCGGCAGAGTTTCGAGGGCCGCCGGCAGAGTCTCGCAGGGCCACCCGCAGGGCCTCGGGGCCAACAGGCAGGCAGAGCTCCGGGAGGCCACCCGCGGAGCTGCGGAGAAGCAGGCAGAAGAGCTGCAGGAGGGGACAAAAACACACACCAAGCCATACCACACGCCTCCTCGTCAAGCGGCCTGACCAGTAAAGGCTGCAATTTGGCATCGTTTGGTATCTCTTGGAAGCGAGGGTGGTCAAAAGCGAGATAGGTTTGTTTGCCCCCTAGGAACAAAAACACACAGACACCATTCATCGTCGATCCCCAGGAAAATATGGGAAGATATGGGAAGTGGGGGGGAAGACAAAAAAAACCCAAAAACTATAGGAACATATGGGGGATATTTCTATGTGTGTGTACTTATCTGTGTGCCCTGGGGCCCCTTCAGAGCTACCTGGACCCCTCGCACGGCCACGCCAGCCACACGGCGAACTCCGAGGGCAGCGGGCGGAGCTTAGGAGGGCCAGTGGCTGAGCGGTACGGTCGCGTGAGCTTCAGCACTTCGATGTGGCGTTTGACACACACACACACACACACACCTTGCCAACTATGCTGGGGCGGATCTTGCTGGTTCCAGTGAACTGGCTCCAATGGGCTGACCTCTCGCCCCCAGTGCCCGTCATCCTCGCCACGGGTTCGCCACCTTGCGCTGTGCGTTGCCCTGCTCCTTGGCACGGGCTGCCTGTCAGGACATCATCGCCCGAATCCCGACAGGCCCGCCGACCGAAGCCAGGTCAGGTCAGGCCTGGTCGGATGACGCAGAACTGTCCGCGACATTGCCTCAGTGAGAAGACGACCTCCCAGGCCCCAAGCGATACAGTCAAAAACCCGAATCAGGACGCGTGACTTTGCTCAGGGTACCCTTGCGTCCTTGCTCTTCCTTGCTCTTGCGTCCTTGGGGTTTTCGTCGTCCGCCGCCCCAGAAATCCCAGCTTCGGCTTCCAAGGGTCTTGCGTCCTTAACCGCGCGTCCTTATTCAGGTTTTTGACTGTACTGATCGCAGCAGGCGGGTGCAGGGCCTTCGGCTTGCCCAGGGCGGGCCCGAAACAGCAAGGGAGGTAGACGCAGAGGCGGGGAGACCGAGCACAGGACCCCCTCCCCCTTCTCCTCCTCGTCCTCGCTCGTCTTCGATCGGCCGAGGAGACGGAGGAGATAGGAGGAGGAGGAGGAGGAGGAGGAGGAGGAGGAGGAGGAGGAGGAGGAGGAGGAGGAGGGGGAGGAGGAGGAGGAGGAGGAGGAGGAGGAGGGGAGGAGGAGGAGGAGGAGGAGGAGGAAGGAGAAGGAGAAGGGGAGGTCGAGGAGGAGGAGGGGAGGAGGAGGAGGAGGAGGAGGGGAGGAGGAGGAGGAGGAGGAGGAGGAGGAGGAGAGGAGGAGGAGGAGGAGGGAGGAGGAGGAGGAGGGGAGGAGGAGGAGGAGGAGGAGGAGGAGGAACAGGAGTGGGAACCGCAGGGGAAGGGGCGGTTGGCCCTATCCTGGCCCCAGGTCCAGCGACAGCATCGACCTCGTGCTCGGCGAGGGCGCCGGCGGTGCCCCGGCGGCCGCGCCGATCCCGCTCGACGAGGACGGGTTCGAGGAGGACTCCGTGGAGTCCCTCTCGTGACGTCCGCGCGTGGCACGCGCCTCCTGCTCCCTCGCTCTCCCTGGTGCTGCAGCTCCTCCGTCCACCTCTGCGAACTTCAAGCCTCTCTCCTCCTTCCTCGCGGGTGCTCGGGCTGCTCCGGAGACGCGTGCGCTCGTCCTGTTGCCCCCTGTGCGCCTCCTGCTCCAGCTCCTATCCGCGTAGCCCGCCCTCCTCCGCCTCCTGCTCCATTCGATGTTCCTCCGCCTCTTGCCCCTGCCCTCGCTGCTGCTCCTCCGTTCACCCTGCGCCTTCTTTCTCTGCGCTCTCCCGTCGGCGAGGGCCGCGTGCTGCCGCGCCCCCTCCTCCGCATCCCCTTCCTCCTTCCTCCTTCCTCCTCACTCTTACGTCCGTCTTCTCCTCCTTCTCCCCTCTCTTCCTCGTCCTCCTCCTCCTCCCCCTCCTCCTCCTCCTCCTCCGCCTCCTCCTCCTCCTCCTCCTCCTCCACCTCCTCCTCCTCTTCCTCCTCCTCTTCCTCCCCCTTCCTCCTCCTGCCCCTCTTTCTCCTCAGTCTCCAACACCTCCGGTTCCGCATCCTTGTTCCATGCCCCCGCCGTGGTGGGCTACGTGTTGCCATGCCCCCCTGTGTCACTTGCCAGTCCTGCTGCTCCACGAATGAGTGTGCGCGGCTGCAGCAGCTCGAGGCATCGGTATTCTTCACCCTCGCCTTGCTGCTGGCTCAATTATCAACCTTGTGCTCGCCTGTTTCACTGCGCGACAACAAGAAGTCGTGTGTACTTGAGGCGATGAAGTCAGCTGTGCCACCTTGTAATAACCAACGACCTCCTCAGTACGTCTCTTGCGTCATGCCTCCGCAGATCTTTGCAATCTTGGAGTGGCGGCAGAATGGTAGCAGGGGGGAGTGGGAGGTGGGGCTACCGCGTGTCGCCGGGGGAGGCCATGCTCCTTCAAGGACGGGAGGCGCGCACAATGCCTCGACTCGAAGCCTCTTGGGCAGTGAGGGGTTTGCCAGTGCTGCTGATTGGACACGTTGGGCGGGCCGTGCCCTTTCATACGATTCTCGCTTGTTTTTTGGTCCTATGTCTCTCTCTTCCCCCCCCCCGAGGCGAGCGAGGAAGAGCAGGAGAAGGGGGACGAGGTGGTGGAGGAGGGAAGCACCCGTGTGAGCGCAAAGCCGACTCGGGGTAAGCTGGCTCGAAGGCGCCTCGCAGTGCACCCCGCACCTGAGGCTCCGGCTGATGGCTCTTTGGGGGTAGGGGGGGGCGTGCTCAGGGGAGGCTGCAGCACCGCTCAGCGACGTGCTGTGGACCGAACCTGAAGGATGGGCTCTTTCCATGCCCATGTCAGCGGTCGTGGAGGATCGGGGAGGATCGGGGGGCACGAACTACACACCTCCCCTGAAGTCGGGCATGTTCCTCTACAGTAGGATGTTCAAAAGTAGTTCCAAACAGCCTGGGGACGATATTTCTTCTACTATTTGTGATTGTTCTTGAGTTTTTTGGTAATTTTGAATGTTTCCTTCTACTATTTGTGATTATTCTTGAGTATTTTTGGTAATTTTGGATGTTTCCTTCAAAGTCCGCCTGTAGGAGGACATGCCCGACCTAGACCTCCCCCGATCCTGGCCAGGCGGATCCTGGGCCCAGGATCCGTGCTCGCACCCTCCTGCCCAGACACCAGGAGGGCGCGCCAGCCGATCCTGGGCCCAGGATGCGTCTGGACAGGATCTGTGTACGTAGGCGTATACGGTCAGGAACTTTGGCTTAGCGTGTCGCGCCGCCGCGTCGGGCCCACCGCGCTTCGGTGCCACGAGCCATCCTCGTCCGGATCCCCGAGCGCCATCGTCGCGGGCTTTTAACAGCCTCGGAGCAGAGTCACACGCTTCCCGCTCGCAAGGCATAGCGTGTCGTCGGGGCCGCCGCCGCAACTCAGGGAACAACGCATGGCATAAGCATAAACAATCTGAGGTCCGTGCATGTTTCTTAGATCGGCGCTGGGCTTCCCCCCTGGCGCGCGGAGCGCGCCAGTAGCGGCGCCAGAGGCGGCGTCAGGGGGGCCCAGCACTCAATCCCAGAAGGAGGAGGAGGAGGAGGACCAGTGTGAAGCCAAGAGTCATCGACGATGTTGGAATTAACCCTCCCTCCAAGCTCCCTCTTCATAGGCCCTACAACGGTTCATTTTCATTGAGGGAATTGCCTCGTTGGAAGGCGACCGTTTGACGACCCTGAAGCATGCCAAAACATTGTTCTCGGGATTTCAACGCCACGGGCCAACCTGACTGCTACGTCTTGACGATCCAGAATCGTGTCAGAACGCCATTTTTGGGATTTCAGCACCGCGAATCAACATGCACCCGCATAGTCCTGAATCCTTCCAAACCACCATTTCTGGTACGCTGTTCATGGGAATCCGGGAAACTCTTGCACTTGTTGAAAGCGAATGTACGCGGCGCTACGGCGAGAGCCACATTATGAAAAGGAACCGCCCTCAATCCGTGAAGCTCTGGCAAATAAGTAAGCCGAATGTGCGCGGCGCCACGGCGAGAGCCACATTTTGAAAACGACCCGCCCTCAATTCGTGAAGCTCTTGCAATTTTATAAACGAATGTGCGTTGCGATAAGGCGAGAACCACATTATGAAAACCACCCGCCCTCAATCCGTGAGACTCTTGCAATTTTGTTAAACAAATGTGCGCGGCGCTAAGACGAGAGCCGCATCTTGAAAACGACCCGCCCTCAATCCGTGAAAGCCTTGCAATTTTTGGTAAACGAATGTTCGCGGCGCTAAGGCGAGAGCCACATTTTGAAAGCCACCCGCCCTCTGTGTGTGAAACTGCTGCCACTTTTTCTTAAGCTTCAGAACCAGAAGTGGTGAGGAAGTCTCAGGCGAAACGCCCGGCCCGCCCTAAAAACTGGCCTCGGGGTACGACAGGGAGAAGTTATTTACATGAAACAGGAATGGAGGCGGCGGAGGAGGAGGAAGAGGAGGAGGCGGAGGAGGAGGAGGAGGAAGCGGAGGGGGAGGGGGGGAGGGGGAAGAGAGGAGGGGGAGGAGAAGGAGGAGGAGGAGGAGGAGCAGGAGGAGGAGGAGCAGGAGGCAGGAGGAGGAGGAGCAGGAGGAGGAGGAGGAGGAGGAGGAGGAGGAGAAGGAGGAGGAGGAGGAGGAGGAGGAGGAGGAGGAGGAGGAGGAGATGGAGGAGGAGATGGACGAGGAGGCAGAGGAGGCGGAGGGGCCGTCTGGCCTCCTGTGGCGGGGGGGGTGGCCCGTGGCGGACCTGTCCGCGGTGGGCCCTCTGATGCCACGCCGCCGTGGGCGGCCTCAGAGGAGCAACAGGTATTGCTACCGCTCCTCTCCACTCGCCGCCACGGCCGGACTCGCCCTCGGCATCCCGATCGGAGCGCACCCCAGGAGGGCGTGGGAGCTCGCGGTGCCGGTGCATCCGCACGGGACCCGGGCCGCTCTCCGGAGGGCCTCGCGGGCGCCTTGGGCCCCCGCTGCGGGCCGCCCCGCGGCCCTGCGGGGCCGGCGTGAGATCCCGATGCCACCGCGCGTGCCGACGCCGCCCCGTCGCGGGGCCCGCGCGCGGCACGCCGCCGCGGGGAGCCGTGGCGCACACGGCACGCCAGCGGGCGCCCGGCGGCGGCGCGTCCCCCAGGGGGCCACAGGCGAACCCTACCCCTACCCCCCAGGATTTCCGAGGGGGAGGGTGGGGTTCACTTCGCTCGTGACCTCCCGAACGACGTGAACCCCACCCTCCCCCTCAGAAGTCCTGGGGGGTAGGGGTAGGGTTCGCATGTGGCCCCCTATCCCCGCGCAGCGCGCGACGGGTGCGTATAGCCGCCTCGGCGCGGCGGCGGCGGCGGTGCCAGCGCTCAGGGCCGAGGACCCTCATGGGGGCCCCCCCCCGCTCGGGCCGCGGGGCCAACGGGCTCAGCTGCGCTGATACTCAGGAGGGGAAACAACACACAGACACAATTCATCGTCGACTCCCCAGAAAATATGGGGAAATATGGGAAAGTGGGGGGGAAGACAGAAACCCAGAAAATATGGGAGAATACGGGGGATCCTTTTATTGGTGTGTACTTATTCGTGTGTCCCAGGGCCCCTTCAGATACGCCCTCGCTGCAACGCAGCACGTGCCGTGCTCAGAGCGTTCGTGCCAGCACGCTGCGTCGGCTCGGCACGCGTCGGCCCACGTCTTGGCGAACGCATCGCGCCAGACCTGCGTGCTCAAAATCTGCGTGTGGAGCTCCGAGGCAGCACGCTGCGTGCTGCTTGTTGCGCACCGGGGCAGCGAAAGGCTCCTGGCGCCAGGCGCACGCGAAGAGACGCGGTATCAAATGCCACGGGGGGCCTTCGAGGGCGGAGGCTGGGCGGTGCTCGCGCGATGTCGGAGGGGTCGGGGGGCCGTCGTCGTCGCTGCAGGATGCTGCTCAAAATTGCACCCAGCTCGGCTCGGCCCGGCTCGGCTCGAGGGCCAGCTCCTGCACAGAGGTCGGAGGGCCGTCGTCATTGCGGGAGCCTGCTCAGATTGCAGCCATCTCGGCCCAGCTCGGCTCGAGGGCCAGCTCCTCCGCAGAAGTCGCAGGGCCGACGTTGTCACCGCAGCGATGCGATGCCCTGATTTGTTCAACACGCGGTCGCTGGAAGTTCCGACCCTTCCCCGGGACTGGTTTTTCATCCTGAGTCGGTTTTGGATGGTCCCAGGGCCGGGTAAGGGCCCCCCAGAGGCCGAAAACGACAGACAGTTTGACGTCCAGATTTTTTCAAGACGCGAGCACGTCTGGGACTGCAGGAGCTTGCTCTGCGTAGCCATCTTGGCTCGGCCCAGGCTCGGTTGGAGGGTTGGCTCCCCCGCAGGCGGCATGGCGGAGGTCAATGCCTGCCGCCAGTAGGCCTCTGACGGCGTGGCCATGGTGACGGTCAGGGGCATCGTTAGAGGGGTTGGGTTGCAAGTCATGAGAGCCTTGCATTTACCAGCCTGGAACATATCTCTACCCCTATGATTGGCATCGCCTCATCTCGATGCCGATCGTCAGGATTCCCTCAGTTTCTGAGGGCGCATCCCTAAGATTGTCATCGCCTTTTGGCTTGCCAATCTTAGGGATAGGGATAAGCCCAAGGCTGGTTATGTATGATCGAGGGCTCCGGGCCCACGGCCCCCCCCCCAGATGGGATGGGTCCCAGGGTCCTCGGGAACCCCCCCAGATGGGATGGGGGGGGAGGAGGAGGAGGAGGAGGAGGAGGAGAAGGAGGAGGAGGAGGAGGAGGAGGAGGAGGAGGAGGAGGAGGAGGAGCAGGAGGAGGAGAGGAGGAGGAGAAGGAGGAGAGGAGGAGGAGGCAGGAGGAGGAGGAGGAAGAGGAGGGAGGAGGACGACGACGCCGGCGATGACGACGACGACGACGACGACGACAACGACGACGACGACGACGACGACGACGACAACTACGACGCCGACAACGACGACGACGACGAAGACGACGACAACGACGACGACAACGACGACGACGTCGACGGCACCACCATCGGCGGCGGCGACGACGTCGAGCACTGGAGCTGTTAATATGACGCCAATCCCAGCCACACGCCGCACCCACACCGCACCCACAGGGGGGGGAAGGAGGGGGAGGAGGACCATGGCGTCACCCCGCACACACCCACAGCAACACACCACACCCACACCACATCCACAGGGGGGGGGGGGCACCACGCCACGCCCACGCCCACAGGGGGGGGCCATCGCGAGGGTGGGGGGGGGGGGGGCGATGGCATTAGCATTGGGGGGGGCCCAAACCCTCGACCATGATGCATACCCTCGTAATTCCGTCTTTACAATGCACTAGCGTCGATTAGCGTCTGGTGATCGATGAAATGGCTCCGA